GTACCCCAGCCCTTCCGACACCTTCACTGTGGCACCAGAGACCCTTAGCCAAAGGACCCAGATAAGTCATGCCCAGATTCCTGCTCCACAGTAATGGTAAGATATTAAATATCTGTCTTCTTAAGCTGTTAAATTTGTACTAATTTCTTATACAGCAATAGGTAAATAATACACATTTTCAAAAATTTAGAGAAGAGTGTATGCTTTTAATAGGCTGAATGGACCATCCAGGTGGGGCTTGGGAACACCGGGTGGTGGTGTGTTTTAGGTTTTGGTCACTTTTCAATCTTTTGATTATGATCTCTCATTCCCTCATCAGTACTGATGTCAAATCTCAAGCAGAAAAGTCACGGTTAATATATGAGTAACTTTGCCATGGAGTCAGAGTTATAAACAGAGATATGATATATGTGCAGAGATAATTAGGAAATTATAAAAACTTAAGGGCAAAGTGGAACATGTGTATGATTGATGATATGATTTGGTTTTGTGTCCCCACCCACATCTCATCTTGAATTGTAATCCCACTATCCCCATGTGTCCTGGGAGGAACTTGGTAATTGAATCATAAGTGAGTTTCCTTGATGCTGTTCTTGTGATAGTGAGTTTTCATGAGATCTGATGGTTTTATGAGGGTCTTCTCACTTCCATCGGCACTCATTCTCTCATTTATTTTCTCTCCTGACGCAATATGAAGAAGGACATGTTTGTTTCCCCTTCCACCATGATTTTAAGTTTCCTGAGGCCTCCTCAGCCATGCTGAACTGTGAGTCAATTAAAACTCTTTTCCTTATAAATTACCCAGTCTTGGGGATGTCTTATTTGCAGTGTGAGAATGTGAGAATGGACTAATACATTTGGACTTATGGCAGGTGGCATGAAACATCTTCTGTGGGTCAAAGTCTCTCCAGGAATTTTGTCACACACACAAAAAAGCCAGTCTGTTTAAAAAACATGTACACATGCAGACCCCAAAGGGACTTTAGGTTAATATGTTCAGTACAGAGAAATAATCTAACTTTTGGAATGACAGATCTAGGATTAAATAAATTCTTCATTCGTTCATTCTTATAACGAATAACTTTTGACTATCTTCCATGATGAAGATAGAGGAGAAAAGAGACCCAGTCCTGCCCTCAAACTCACAGTCCAGCAGGGATAAGAGCTGTGACTATGTACTAAAGATATACTAGGTACTGGGATACACCAAGAACTTGATACACATTGGCTGATTTGATTCAATAAACAAAAGTTTGGTATTATCTCACTTTAACAGTTCAGCAAACTGAGATTTAAAAGTCATCAAGCAAGTAAGTAGCAAAGCTGGAATTTGGTCCTGAGTCTTTGGACTCTACCACTTTCTTTTGACCTCTGACTGCATTTTTCTTTTGACCTCTGACTGTATTCTTCTTTTGATAGTTTCTTACATTACCAAAACAATATGTTTATTATAAAACATGTATAAAATATGGGCAAATACGTGGAGAGAAAAGTTCACTTGATCTCACTACCATCTTTATAGCTATTATTCTAAAATGTCTTATGGATGTTTTAGTGGGAAGATGGATGAATAATCATGTATATCGCCACAGTTTATTAAGCAATCTGTGTTTGATCTTTCAGGTTCTTTGGGGTTTCTTGCTGCAGGGATTGTTGCAGCGACCTACTTAAAATTAGTAGCTCTTTTGACTTTTGTAAAAGCTTAAGCTTAAATTTCTAAAAGAGATGATGCTTCCTTGTTCCAGAAAAGGAAAGAGAAGGATTATCTTAACTGGTTTAAAGGAGAAAGAAACTCCACCTAGACAATTAAGCAGAAAATGTCAATGGACCCTGCATGCAAGGTGGAGCCAGTTTGGTGTTGGTAGAGGTGAGGAGCCCACAGAGAGGGCAAGTTGTGTGGTTCACCAGTGAGTCTGGACCCCAGGGCACAGGGACAGCCCCAGACATGACACAAAGTCAGCAGCACTTCTGCATCCAAGGCCACTGACCATGGAGTCATGTGTGTTGGAATATAAGCATTGGAGAAACTATGCCAATCTCCTGAGACAAATGGCCGGAGGGGTCTTTTCAATACTTTAGGGCTCCTTGAGCTCCAGAAGTCCTTGCACACCTCTGAGAAGGGGACAACTTCTGTTGTGACTGAGACAAAATGTCCTGCCTTTCTAGTGCAGAGATGCGCAGAGGGAAGTGGAAAGAAAATAATGTGATACTTCCGATACCCCTGACTTTGTAGACTAAGACCCACAAAATCCATGCTTGCTCTGCCATCATTGCAAATATTAATTTAGAGCGTATGATGTAGAGAGTGTGATATTGCATTGAGAGTCCAAGAACCCCTGATTAGGAACACATTCAGCTGAATGGCCTTAAGAGCAAAAATGAGAATTTTTGGAAGAAAGAGAAATTCTACCCCAATTCTTCAACATCGGATCCTGCCTGGAGATTTTAGCCTGTTGGCCTGTCCCACAATTTTAAGATTTACCCAGCCAAACCCCACAACTGTGTAAGCCAATTCTTCGAAATAAAACCCCATCTATCATCTGTCTATTATCTATCTATCTATCTATCTATCTATCTATCTATCTATCTATCTATCCATCCAATCTATCCATCACCCTATCTATCATTTATCTACCTTACTGGTTCTGTATTTTCTGGAAAACCTAATTGATATACTGTCATTTGCAAAACTGGAAAAAGCATCATCTGGATTCATCAACACTTGGTATATATAACTCCTAAATGACTTATTTTTTTGACATCATTAGAGCTGATGCCCGGACATAAGGAGGGCAGCAAAGAGAGACAGAGGGAGAATTCCCTCAACTCTCTGAAAAGTGCCAGTTGAACTTTCTTATTAAGCAAGCATGGGAACTGACATCAGGGGTGGGGTGTGTAGGCTGGACTGGGCAAAGTCAGTGGGGGTTGGCGGGTACAGTATGCAAGTTGGCATTATCTGGTAATTATGGTTAACTTAAATATTGGGCAACTTGGTGGTCTGACCAGCAACAACAAGGCTGTCAATCAATTGTTCAGCATTCTTTCCAAAGGTGGGACACTCCACAACCTTGGTTATCTCCTAAGGCCAGTTCCTGAAATTCTTAGCAGTGAGGTAGTCATGTGGGTTTTGTGATCAGTGGGAATACATAGAAGAATGCTCTAGTTGTGATGAGCTGAAGCAAGCCCCATCTCTACTCTGTCTCAGTTGGATGAAGTCCTCCCAGATTATCCAAGATCATCTTTATCAAAGTTCAACTTACTGTAAGCATTAAACACATCTGCAAAATACCCTCTTGGCAACATGTAGATCCACGTTCAATTGAATAAGTAGGTAATACAGTATAGCCCAATTGATACATAAAACTAATCATTCCTACAAGAAAGGGAAGACTTGAGCTGGACCTGAAGGATAATTAGGAGACAAAATAAGGACTGGCATGGCAGTGAGCAGGAGCAGTGTAGAGTCCCAGGTGCCTTGCAGCTTGTAAGGCATTTGGTCATATGCAAGTTCTAGAAAGGCCAATCTGGGGAAAGTGTGGAGAGTGATGGGGGAGTAGGTTTAGAAGGCTCCAGAAGAGCCGATAGTCCCAGTCCAAACACTGGCAGTGAGAATAGGGAAGAGGGATACAACAGGGAAGATACGGAGATATGGAAGACACTGACTCCACAGCCCTCAGTGGCCCTCCATGTCAGTCACTGCTCATCGATCTCTATGTTCTTTTTTTCTTTCCATGGTCTTGATGTTCACAGCTTTTTCTGCATCGTACTCTGTTTAGCCATCACCATTGTGAAGAATCTCTAGTAGGAGAGGCAACAGAGGTAGCAACATTGTGGCCACAGTTGTGTAGAGTGCATTGAATCCAGCTACTGGCACATACAAGCTTAAATCCCACACTCGTGTGCATGTCCCTGCACCAGCACACAGACACACAGAATTTTTGACTGCAAAAGTTAATTCACTCATTTTTAATCTTACCTGGAAACTTGTGCAGTTGGAGATTCAGAAATAGCTTTTAAGATATTTGCTTTTGAATCTGTAACTAGAAACCTAGCCCATATTTCTCTCTGAGCAAAATGGAAATGGAATAGTATAGCATAAAGGTGCATAGAGACAGTAGGTTGATAAATATTTCAAATCTCAGTTCTATTCGCACAACAATTCCTAGAGTCTTACCTAGGCAGAGAAATTCCTTTTTGATCACAGTCTGATGAAATTTGTCTTTTTCCAGTGTTTTTGCAACAACTACCATCCATGATAGGTTGCTTCAAGATCTATAACAGTCCCTGAATCTGAAATTGATGAAGTGCCCTCGAGGTCAGCATTGTGTGTGCTGATTCTTAACTCTGCCTCAGTAGGCACACTGATCCTTAAATCCCCTTCTGAACACATGCATGCCTGTCTCACGGCCCTCATCTCCCTCACTTTTCTCCCTGAGCACACCAGGATGGCCCCCAAGCTTACTTTCAGCTGCTTTTAGCTCTATATATTTCAGAAAAAAAAAAGTTATCTTGTATACAGCATTTGAAATTATTTTATTCAGAAAAGTTCACACTGGGCATGTATGCCAAGCTCTGAGCTAAGCTCCAAGGATCCAGAAATATATGAGAAACAGTGTCTGGCCCTCTGGGAGCTCTAGAGAAAGAGAAATGGAGGCAATGAAGAGAGCTTAGCCTTGGCCTTGAATAGGGGAAAAAAGGCAATATTGGGGTTTGGCCTTGAGTAGACATCCAGAATACAGCATTCCAGGATGAGCATAACTAGGCTGCTGAGGATGGCCTTTTTTGGAGGTAGCTCAGAAGTGGAAGAGGGAGCTGTGGCACTGGTAGGACAGAAACTTCAAAGACCAGGTGGTGGGGCCTGATATAGAGTCATCTGATTGCCCTTTCCAGTTGAGTTCCAGGTAGTAAGGGGAAAGGAAAAGAGACCAGTTTCCTGGGCTGTTAGCTAACCCCATGATGGCCAATGGAAGAGCTTCAGGGTAAGGGACACTATTGAAAAATCAGGACCAGCAATATGGATGAAACAGGACACTTCTCCTCTTTATCTTCTGAATCAGCGGAGAAGCAGATGGCACCCTTCACCTTTGAGCCCTTTGGATCCTTCCGTGAGAACAGCTCTTCTCTGTAAACAAAGAAAAAGAGGATAATTAGAGGCAGAATGGCACATAGAGAAAGACATCTCAGATGACGGAGAGGAAAACAGAGAGAATGGGTGAGGAGAACAGTGCTCCCTAAACGTTCTCTCTTTGTATACACAGAGGAAAGATTATCTGGAGAACACATTTGGGTACATGAATGATTGTCCAAGGCCCATCGAGCCACTATGGGGACAGCATGCATCATTGTCGTCACAAACCTGTAACCCATGCTGACCGAGAAGCTGCAGAATGATGCTGCCATTCCAAAGGGACAACAGGAGAGAAGTTGTGATCAAAGGCAAAAATAGAGACAAAGGACAGGAGGCTACCTAGGATAAGAAAGGCCAGAGTGAGCTTGGAGAGGGCAGAGGCTGCAGGAAGGGAGGAGGCTCAGTAGTGGGCAGCTATCACCAAAGAGGCTCCTCCGGTTTATATTTCTTAAAGGAGAATAGGCACCGTCTCAGGGAAAGGGAGCAATGAGTAAGTATGCACGAGCAGCACTTGGGAGTGAAGAAGGGGGCAGCCAAGGCACTGGAGAGGCTGAACTCTGGATCTCCTAACAAATGAATGGGGTCCTCCGTCTCATCCCTGGCAGCACCCATCCAGGTTCAGGAAATGGAGAAGGGAGGAAGTCAAGTAACTGGAGTGTTGGCTTTTGAGGCACAGATTCAGCCCTGCCACCTACTTACCTTCCTTTGCAGGCTGCATCAGGCCTTTGAGGCCTCCTGGGCCACGCTTGAAAGGCCTCCAGCTGCAGGGACATGTCATGGCTTCTGGGAAATGTCACGACGAGGTTCTGCAGGAGAGAACACAGGGATGTCAGGGCGCCCCGTCAGCATCAGGAGCCCACATTGAGTGAGAGGCTTGTGACCCAGCCTCACAGACTTGGATTTTGGGAAAAATTCATCTTTGACTTGAGTGGGAGGCACCTCAGGGCTGGGATCTCTTCAAGCCCATTTGGGAAATCTGGGGTGTTTTCAGCTCCTATCTCCAACCCTTCCAGCCTGCCCAAGCGCACAGGGGCTGCTCCTCTTGCCCTTACCACCTGCCTCTCATGCCCGGCCCCAGTCACTGGTCTGAAGGGGCTCTGACAATTCACATTAAGAGACTTAGGAATGCCGCAATTTCATAACTGTCTTCCCACAAAGAAATTGTAGCTTAATAGGAGCCAGACCTACATCTGGGGTTGGAAACTGCAAAGGCGGGACTTCAGATATCTAGGACAAGGCAGCCTCTGAAAAGAGGGGGCAATTTCTTGGTAGAGGCAGGAATTTTCCTAGGCCCCTGACATCCCAGCCAGGGCTGCTCCTCGTGCCCTTCCTTCCCTGAGGCCCAGGCTGCCACGAAAGACAATGATCCCAGAAAGACACACAAGTGGATCCCTGGGCTTAGCAGGGATGGAGCAGCCTGGTCTGAACAAGATGCATGGGCTGGCCATTTAGAAGCCCCTTCTTCAGGAGAGTCCTGCACTCAGGAACTACATGGGAGAAGTGAAGTGGGTGCTCTAAAAAGCAACTGCTAGCACATGCTTGGAACCCTGTGGGCTGCCCCGGAAGCCCCAACGGACGCAACTGCCACTGAGCGGGTGGGGGAGGGGAGGCAGCTTGGGCAGCCAAGGGTCCCAGTCTCCTACAAACTTCCTGCACACCTGGGGAAGGCAGCAGCTCTGGGGTCTGCAGGGTGGGCACCTCATGGTTCCTAACTCTCCTAGAAATGAAAAGGGATTCAAAGAGACCCACTTGATAACCTGTCAGGCTGCATAGCAGTGAGGCTTCCTCCTTTTGTAGGTTCTTGAAATTGTATATCTATATACAGATAGATAAATATACATATACAATATACAGAGTGGCTGCAGGTTTGCTACAGCAAGGCAGTGGGTGAAGGTGATGGGTGTGCAGTGGTGGACTCTGGAACCCTCCAAGGGGCTCCCCTGCTGGACACAGAACTGGAGCCTTTGAGCCGCTGACCAAGACAAAAAGGAAGAGGGACGAGACAGAAGGCAGGGCCGCAAGGATGCAAGGCCTTGTCTACTAAGTCCTACTCTCCCATGTAGGCCATTACCCCCGACCTATCTGAGCTTCAGTTTCTCTGAAAGGAAAATGGGTCATCAAGAGACAAATACACAAGAGGAAAGGAAAAATCACGAGGGCAAAAGGTCCAGGGTGAATGGAGGGAAGGAAAAAATTGCAGAGATCAAGTAGAACCACAGACAGGAGAGAGCCTTTGGCAAGATAGTGGCAGGGAGGTAAAAGAGAGGGGAAGTGACGGGAAGCCAAGAAGAATTGGGTGGCAAGGAGAAGGAAGCTAAGGGTGGAACAGTGGAGACCTGGGGAAGGTAGAATCAGGAACCAGGGCCAAAGTGCAGAAGAAACAGCCTACTGGACCAGCCAGTGTTGGAGGGTGGACCTGGGACGTGCAAGACATTTTCTTCTCATTCCAGTCAGAGGCAGGAGACAGGAACTGAAGGGGGCCAGCTACAGCAGGACAGGAGGAGGGCAGAAAGCTCAAAGTGTCCTTCTCCTGTCCCCTCATCCCCTCTCCCTCCAACCCTTCCAAAAGCCTTGTCCCAGAAACAAGGGAATAGAACCCAGGAAGGTTGAGTAGAGGGATGAGGTTTGGGCATCCTTTCCAGAGAGAAATGATAGCTTAACAGTGATCAGCTGAATAGCCGGGAAACACCCCCATAATGGTGGAGGGCTGAGCATCTAGTACCTTAGCCTAGGGGAAAGGGACAGGCTTGAGGTCTTCCCGGACTCCTCTAGCCGAGGTCTCCTGTCCAGGGAAGCTGAGGTGTGAGGGAGACTCAGAAACGGCTCCCAGGTGGAGATTGGGCTGCCTCCTCTGGGGAGGCTGCTTGAAGCCTAGTGGGTACAGCACAGAATAGCCAGGAGAGGGGGGTGCCAAGGCATGCCCCCCTCACAAAAGCCCCCATGAGGCTGCTCTCAAAACCCTAGCAGGAGCACCTCCACTTTTCCTTCCTCCAATCCCAGGGGGTGGGGGAACTCACTTTGGACCCAGAGAAGCCCTCACATAGTCCTCCTGCTGGCCAACTCTGCTATCTCAAGTCCCAGTGCCCTGGGAGATGAAGGCCATTGCTGCAGATGAAAACCAGAATCAGACATCTGGGGAAGAAGTGTGATCCCACGGAAGGAAATAAATGGCTCCCAAAATTGCTCAGTGCTCCCCTACTAAGCAGGAGGAGGTGGATGTAGGATTTCTCTTCAGGCAGGGCTCTGGAGCATCTAACTGTGGTGTTGCTGTTGGATCATGCTCACACATGTAGAGAGCCAGCAGAAAAGGATTTTGTGGGGAAGGTCCATTAAAACCTTTCTAGGTAAATCAAAGTTCAATAGACCCAACTGCCAGGCATCCTGGCAGGGGTGGTGTCCTGGACAGGACACCACACCACTCACTTCCCTTTGCATTTCCCTATTGCCACTCTCCTTTGATATTTGTTCAGGAATTCACCCATCTGTAAGCTCATTGCTTTATCAAATATTTGTTGAGCTTTGCTGGGCAGAGGGGATATAAAAATGAATGAGACTAAGTTCCTGCATTCAAGTACCTTCCTGGGTAGTGAGAAAGGGCAGACTGACATGCTGAGAATGAAGAGAGAAATATAGGATGCAGGCGGATGGCTCAGGTAGACACATCCCTTAGTCCCTGCTCTCATGGGTAAATACAGCTACTGGGAGGAAGTTAACATCAAAAAATCCTCCAGGGGAATCAATATTTGTTGCTTCTCACCAGGCAGATAGGAAGTTGGAAACCAGAAAGTTCTTTGCCCATTCGGGAATTTAGAGTCTAAAATCAAAACATACTCACACGTATTAATTGGGGTCCTTCCCTTGAGCAGCACCGATATCAGGGAAAAGAAAACTACTTGGTGAGTTAGGATACAGCGGGAGGGGTCTCAAAGACAGCCATTGAAAATGCCCCCAAATGCTGGAGACCTCAGGTTTGAAGGGGTTCTGATGGCCTTATGGACTTATAAAGGACATGGTTCAGAGGTTTCCTCAGACCAGCACAGGACTCGGGGAGGGGGAGCAGGGAAGCCCCCAGGATCTAGATTTTGGGGATGTCAGTGCTACAGGGACTGGGCTTGTGACTGGAAGCTGCCTCTTTGGTGTCCCCAGTTGAAGAGCAGAGGTCCAGGATGGGTCCCAAGAAGATGGGGACAGCCCAGATGATGGTCAATGCAGTCTTGGCTGGCAGGGGAAGGGGGTTCCTGGAAGGGGCCACGAAGAGGTGGAGTGACACTGGAGTATCACCAAGGTGGTGCTTCCTCGCCACCAGAAAGCCTGGCCTGAGGAGGAGAAAGGAGGAAGATGACTCAGCTGGAGTGACAGCCTGCCTACTCCCTGCTGCCCCTGTATTGGGCTATCACTGCTGGGGAGTGCATCCAAACAGAGGGCTATTTGATAAGTCTGAAATATCCACAGGACTCCCAACTCAGGAGAGACAAATGGGCAGAAACAGAAAAGTAAATGCTGAGATTATATCTGAAGAAAGAGAAAGAGCACAGCAAGAGCAGAGCAAAGAGTCAGGATGAAAAACCTCATGGTGTCAAAAAAGAAGGAAGGAGAGGAGAGGAAGAAGAGAGTGTCCCATAGGAAACCAGAGTCAGAGTGAGGTCAGGACAAGGCTAACAGCACAGGAAGAGGTGACTGGCTGGACCTCGCCCAAAGAGGATTGAGCCTGAAGGCTTCAGGGATATGGTCTGTGCTTCGTCCTTCTGCCCCTAACTCTGGGGACATGCCTCTCTTGGGGATAGAATGCAGATGAAGAGAAACAGAAGTGGCTAAGTCAAGAAGCCACGGGCTGAGGGTGCCCCAGCTGCCCACCTCCCTTGGGGCAAACTACATGGATAAGCAGTTGCATGATATGCACCCGAAGCCAGTCCCTGGGAAGCCCTGCCATTGAGAGTCAGTGCCACCACACGGCCCTCTCTGCACCCCTAGACCCCACGGATAGGGAGAAGGGTTGGTCCTGGACCCAGAGGACCCCTCAAGTGGAGTGAGGCTCCCCAACTGCTCTTGCCCAGAGAGCTCTGCCTATGAAGGGGCCCACCAAAGAGACCAGAGCTGAGAGATGGTACAAGCTCCCCTGCGGCAGTTGTGGTTGTAAAAAGGGGGGTCTCAGGATGAGATCTGGGTGCCTGAAAAATGGTCAAATCACAGTTCAGTTCAAGAAGCAAGCAGCAGTAGTCTGTCTGCTCCACGAGGTTAGGCTGAGGGCTGCTCTTCAGCTTGGCTCCCAAGGTGGCTTGCTCTGGATCAGCTGCTTTGAGTATTTGACCCATGAGTGACCTGCCACTTTCAGGTCGTCTTGGACCCCAAGCCAAAGTCTCACAGAAGTTGCCACTCATGACTTGCCTGAGTACATGGCACCAAAACAAACAAAGCCGGCCTGCTTTCTTTTCCTTTCTCATTCCACCACTCTCCACAGTCATGTCTCCATTCACTGATGTATTGTCCACTGAAGAGCTATTAACTTGGCCTTGATACGAGACATAAAATACGAACAGTTATTAACTAGGCCTTGATACGAGAGAGTGGCACATAGTCCTTAACTTTAAGTAGCTCACTGCATCCTGAGGAAAGATATGGTCCTCATGGGGAGGGGGTATTGGTGATGCTCGCTGAGGCCTTCCTTAGACTTCAGATATCAAGCTCTCATAGCCTATCTCTTCTATTGTACCTCACAGGGAACTAAAATAACTTTAGATTGTAAAGGTAGCTAAAATGTTACTAGAAAAGAGCTTCAATTAGAAAATATTTTAGGGGTGGCAAGGAG